GCCCGCCTCAGTCCATTCCAGCCCCTGGCCGTGCTGGCTGTGTGGACTGAGGGGAGACTATGCTACATCCCAGCACTTCCTCTGGAAAACGGGGTAGCAGCAGTATCTCCCCATAGGGCTCTTTACCAGACTGCATGTGGTAATGTTACAAAGACCACCTGGCTCACAGGGTCCCATTAACAAGTCTTCCTCATCAGCAAAATTACATGTCTGTTCTTTTCCCTAATCTGAGGTTGGAGCAGCTCTGGGTGTATCTGATGAATGAATTAATCTAGGTGCTGGCTTGTGGCCAGGCCCCAGGTTACAGTGGTGGGCAGACTATATTCTGTACTCTGATGGAGATTCTGTGAGGGTGAGACATATCACCCCTCAAATCACACTTAGACGTACAATCTAAAGTCACAGCAGTGACTGAGTGCCAGTGAGGGAGCATCACTGTGCACAGCAGGGTGTAACAGGGGCTCCTTGTCTCATCTGGGAGTCAGGAGGACTTCTCTGAGGAAATGACACCAGGGGCTGCTGTCAATGAGGTCAACTGGGAAGCTTCTGCAGCAGGAAAAGACTGTGCAGACCAAGGCAGTCAAGGAGCCGAGCAAGGTGGATGACCTTGGGAATAAAGCAGCCATGAAGGAGATGAGGTTTGAAGGACTCAGGAGGAGGCAAGGTCAGGGTCACTCAGCACACACAGCTGGCTGAAGGCTGAACCTTCACCGAGCTGGACCAGAAGCCCCCTCTGGCTTGCCCAGTGACAGAGTTCACAGTTCATCTCTCCACATTTCACAGAGCTGTGTTCTTGGTCTGTGTTCTTCCCTGAAGACCAGGGCAAGATGCTGGTCTCCCTCCCAGCAGGGTGTGATGGGGGCAGCGGTGGTGTCCCATATGGGTGGTAAGTCTAGGTCACTCAGAAGACAGGATGAATAATTTTGGGTCCCTGCTCTGGTCACCTAAAGACATTCTGTAGAAAAGGGTAGGATGTGAGCAGTTGGCTGGTCATGCAGGGAAGGGCTGTGGTGTTTAGAACAGACAGCATTCTAGAAGTGAAAATTCGAGAGCAAACTTTTACCAGCTGAAGTTCAAACTCTGCCTCTAGTGCTCATATGGGCCTCTCTGGCCCGGTTTTGTCATCTCTAAAGTGGATGGGTGACAAGGGTTGGTGAGCTCCTCCACAGGACGGATACCAGCCTGGAGGGACAAGGACATCGTCCCTAGGATTCAGAGATTGAAGCAGGTGGACTCGGAGTGAGCCCAAAGCCCACACCCACAGCAGCGCTCCCCAGGCTCCAGGTTCGCGGTGCCGCCCCCTCCTTCCCTCTGTATATTTAGCCCCTGCAGCTGTTTCTCAGGTGCTGCTCTTCAGGCACACGTGGTGATTAATTTCACCAACGGGAAATTGAGCATTTTCTGATTACTGCTTCAGAGTCTCCTGAATTCAGCTGCTGGTAAAATTAACTCACCAGGGACAATGGAGCTTTTTCTCAAGGTCCAAATTGTTCTTATTTGCAGCTCGTTTGTGGTCGTCATCCAACCCAAACAAAGGGGCTGCTTGTCAACCTCCCAGCAGGAGTCCCAGGTTGAGGCAGCCACGTGACTCTGAAATACACTTTGCTTTGGGGAACACCGTGTTTTTGAGAAGTGGTGGGTGAACTGCAGGAAGTGGCCACAAGTCTCCCTCTTTAGGGTCTAGTCCCAGGAATTCATGTGCTTAGCAACCAGAAAGGCCTGCATATACCAGAACGAAAAGCAGATGTCCCCTCAAAACCTCTTCAGCCAAGGACCAAGGTCATGCCCATGACTAATATACTGACTACAGCCAAGGAAGGAGGCAGGATTGTTCCCTCTCCATTAAGGTTTAACAAGATAAAGCATAGGTTAGCATCGGAACCCCAACTCCCAAGCCTGACCTTTGAGCAGGTGCACGCAAGCACATACTCATCCACACGTGAGCATATCAGCCCTGGATCTTAAAATAGGACTCCAGAAACTTGCTTCAGACCAGCTGCTGAGACAAACTGAAGAATAGACATTGATTTTAAGAGTCTTGTTCTTCAGGTACATCCACATTTAGAGTCTCATGACAACTCTCTAACCATGGTTGCGGAGAGCAGAGAACCAATGACAGTAGCATTAGACTGTGGCTGGAGAGGCCTGGCTTCCTGCCCCCTCCACACTACCATGCTAAACCATCTCCTACAAAGATCTGAACTTCCATTTAAGAAGTCAATTGTGCAACCTCTTGAAAACTACCTTACCTTACGTCTAAATGTAAATTTTCACACTGGTGTGTATTAAAAGGAGGCACATCTGTGCAAATGTTTCTTACAGAAAGCACAGGTAGCAGGATCTCAAGTCTTTACTGATCACATGCCCCAGACCCTCCTAAATGATGGGGAAACAAAGGCAGAGAGGTTGGGTGACTGGATGAAGGTCCACCTCCATGGACACTGGGCCTGGGCCTCTCCTCCCCAGCCTGCAGCTGCCCCAGTCACAGCAGAACAAAGTCATCCTCCTATCTGGGTGTGTACAGGGGCTGCAAGAATAAACAAAAAGGCCAAAGGATCAAGGTCTGCCTCTGCCACTGTAAAGCCCTGGACAAGACACTCAGGCTGCCTTGTGAATACAGGAGTGCTCTGTACCAACACTACAGTCCCACCTGGACACTGGGAGGTTCCAATAAGGCTGCACTGGATCTGTCACATCATTGAGCAACCTGAAGGGATACTCTAATCTGCTCCCTAGGAGCTGTTTACTAAGCACTAACGATGTGCAAAACTAAACACAAGACTGCTCTCCAGGAGTCTGGCTGAATCAGGTAAAAATACAGGGAGCATGGGCGTATGAGAGCTGAGAAGAAGGGCCTTCTACTCAGTACCAGGGGTTAGGAGATGTTGCCCAGAGATGATTTCTCAACGACCATCCAAAGCTAATAGGAGGGGAAAAAAGGTCAGAGGAGCACTTCAGAGGGGAGCATCATGGGCCAAGGCTGGGCGGGGAGGCTGGGATATACCATCACCAGGCTTCCTGGGACACAGGCGGCCAGAAGGGATTGAGTGCTAGGGACCAGATGTGGGACCTGGTAAATTATGTGAAGGTGTGGAGTTCTATTTGAAGGTATCAGGAAGTCAGTAAAATATTCTGGCAGATGCAGGATTTTTCTAAGCACTATTGCAGGGCAGAGAGTTTGGAAAGCAAGATTTGAGAGAAGCTTGACAGAAAAGGAACCAAAGGTGATAAAGAAGGTAGTGGATAGAGAAAAAGGTGGAGGGATCAAAACCAGGACCTCCAAAAAGGTCAAAGCAGAGAAGGGGCCGAGGGAGCAAGCCAACAAGAGGTGATGGTCAGAGGCGCAAACATTCGAATAAATGATTTCAGAGGGAAAGTAAGTTGGTTTTTGTGTATGGAGTTGAGGCATGGATCTTGCTTGAGTTTTCTGCAGAGTTTGCCAATTTTTCCAACACCATTTGTTAAAAAGGCTGTTGTTTCCCAACTTAACTGATATCATCTCCTTGTCAAAAATCAGTTGACCATAGGTAGAGAGGCTGATTTCTGGATTTTCAATTCTATCCCATTGATCTGTGTGTCTGTCATTGTACCAGTACCATGCTGTCATGACCACCAGGGCAGCATAGTAGGATTTGAAATCAGGGAGTGAGATGCCTCCTACCTTGTTTCTCTTTTTAAGGGGTGCTTTGCTTATTCGAGGCCTCTTTCCATTCCAAATGAAACTGGAGATTGACTTTTCCATCCCATTGAAGAATGGGATTGGTATTTGTATTGGGATTGTATTGAATGTGTAAATTGCCTTTGGTAGTATTGTCATTTTCACATTAAGTCTTCCTTTCCATGAGCAAGAAGTCATCCAAATGAACAATGAAGTCCTGTCTCCCACCCAATTCCTCTGCTCCCCCAATGATGCCTGGATAAGAGAGAACATAGAGGAAGACCAAGCCAGGATGTCACTCCTGACTGTAGGCTAGATCCATGAAGCCCGTATGTCCAGCCTCCTACAAGGTGGTACCGAGATGGAGAGGCCAAGGCAGTGAGGCACACAGAGCAGAGCTGGGCAGTACTGCGTCCTGTCAAAGCGTGGCTGTAGGGTTCCAGTTCTGTCACTGTTTCTCTAAGGGACCTTGGACCAATCTTAAGCCAAATTTTTGTCAACTGCAATAAGGCTTAGTCCACAGGAAAGAACAAGGCAGCAGGAGTGACAGCCGAGCAGACACACAGCTACCATCACCAGAGCACACTGACTGTTGCCCTGGCTCTGGTCTCGCTGTGCTCTGTTCTAAACTGAAGGCAGTGGCACCTCAGAGGGCTGCTATGCGTGGGACTGGGATGCTGAGCACGTTAGGTACAGCCACCAGCGCCTGGGCACACTGCATGGAGAGGCGGTCTTCTGTGGGCTCAGCAGGATTTGGCAACAGACTCCCCAGACCCTCGACAGGTCCCTGTGGTAGTGTGGAATCTGGGCTTCGAAGCTTTATGTGAAATAAATAAATTATCAAGTTAAAATGCAATAAATCTGGAGGGGGGAGTGGGCAGGGAGGAAAATGTGCAACAATGAATGAATGGAAATCCAAATTCTCTATGAACTTTCATTAAAAGCTCAATTTAAAAACAAAAAAAAAGGCAATAAATCTTTTCATTAGAATCTTCAGGCTGCAACGAAGCCTACACTCTAAGCAAACACAGGGGCAGGCCGATAACCCACTGACCTCAGCCACATTAATGCCTCATCTTCAGGCAACTACCAGAGCTTCAGAATCCCGAGCACCCGAGGAGCTCAAAGCCTTTTCCAAACCTCGTCGCAAAACACCTGAACCTTGTTTTACAACAACCCTTAAACCAACTCAAGGACTGAAAACATCACAGGAAAAAATAGCTTTTCTTTGTCCAGAAAGCTCTTTTCTTCTCTCTCAATAAATAGGAATCACACTGATAACAAAGAAATGGGAAGAAGGCTCAGTGGGGGAACCACAAGTTTTATTGGCTGGAAGGTCTCCTCAGGAGCCTGGTCTGCTGGGACTGGATGTTCCTGGATGGGCACCTCCAGGCCTGAGCTGGGAAAGGAAGAAAAAAGGAGACTCTTAGGTGCAATGGACAAGTCATGGCAAGATTGTTATTCTAAAATAACTTTCAAATTTTACAGTTTGATCAGTATTTAGAAAACAAAGTGATAATTACATCATTCAAGAAATACTTACCAAAAGGCAACTATGTGCCGAGCATGGTTTGCTGTGTATAAACTTGTAAAATTAGCATAAAAATACTAAAATTAGGACCATCATTGAAGGCATGACATGATAAAATGAAACTTTTGACACATAAATGACAGCTGAACAGGTTTCACCTTCAACTTCATTTTTCACCAGACCCTTCAGCCCGCATCCACCCCAACCTCTAAATCCACTGAAAGAAGTTCAAAGAAGCAGTACCTCCAGGTTTCCTCTGGCTTTTCGAAGGATTTTGTGGGTTACAACCACTGTGGAGAGAATGAAGAATGGGTGATTAAAAATACCCACGTCTAGGCAGACAGCGTAAGAAGTCAAGTTCGGAAGAAAGAATGTGAGCGACCAAGAAGCCTTCAGACCAAAGAGCTGTATGAAGACCCTGTGCCTGCCATCGCACACCTCGGGACCGAACAGTCCACCTCAAGAAAGGAGGGGCCACAGCTGGGCACAACCTCACAGCAATACCAAAACCAGAAGGGGAGCATGCTACCAATGTTACAGAGGACGATCCCGAGGCTCTGCCTGGCCTCCTGGCCCCGGGTATGTCTGGCACTCACTTCCATGAGCCTGAGAGGATCAAGATGGGTGGGGCAGAGGCCCAGTGCCCAACTAGTGCTTGACACCCATTTAGGTTTTCTGACCCTCTATGAAAGGGGTGTGCCCTGCTCCAAGCAAACCCATATGTGAAAGCCCAAATCAAATGTGGAGAACAGTTTGTAAAGTCAGATTTTTATTTATCAGTTCTTTAAGCATCTCCTATGGCCCGGTGGAAAGAATTCTGGCTTTTTTTTTTTTTTTAAAATGTGTGTGTGTATGTGTCTGTGTTTGTGTACCATCAAATCAGATCTCACTGGTACAGGAGAAGATTGTCCCTCCTTCTCCAGCAGAGCATCTGGTGGATTTCAACCACCCACCTCTGGGATTGCAGTGCAGCTTCTTGCTACTAGGGCACCAGAGCTCGCCGAATTTTGGCATTTTTTTAAAAAATACTTACCCTGCTTTCTAACTTGCAGAAGAGTCCATGGTTTCCCTGGGCAAATCATGTTCTACCTGGCCAGATGGGGATGCTGAAATCGTATCAGGGGTTCTTGGCCACCCAGACCCTCTGCACTGTGTAACGGGTAGGTTCTTAGTGAATGAGAACTCATGGGTGAGATGGGAGTGGTGCCTCGCCTTCAGCAACAGTAAAGGAAAGCTGTTCTTTTCTCTCCTAATGCTAACTCTACCACCACTAAATGCCACCAATGAACATGTTTCTGAGGCTGGTCAGGAATGCACTCTTGCTGGGTATCTGTTCTGTGCAGGGCTTAATGGGAGAAGGCGATCGAGCCTCACTCCCTGGGGAAGGACAGATACAGGCATCTGGAACTGGGCTTGTGGCCAAGAGTGCCCGAGGCAAAAACAGACCGAGTCCCCAACACAGAGCCCAGTCCCTCCAACTCCCTAGTGGCTTGTTCAGAATAGGTGCCATGTGGTAGCCTTGAGAAAATATTTATTCACTGCCTCACAAAAATTTCCATCTGGAGGTAACAAAGTCTGCTTGCAATCTGTGACACTGGGGAAAGGGATGGGAAGTTGGGGCTTTGCCTTCAGCTGGGCAAAAGGAATTGTACAGGCAGCCACCACTTCTCTGAGCTCCGCTTTACCCTCATGTCACACTGTGGAGCAGCAGCTCTTAAATGTGGGACTGTGGGTCTGCTTGGGGGCTCCTAAATCCCTACAAACTATGTAGAAGCCCTTGGGTGTACATAGATGTGTGTGTTTCTGAGAAGAGCCTACAGATTTCCTGATTTTATCCAGGGGGCCTGTAACCCAGAAAAGATTAAGTATCATGACTGCAGAGGTTAAAAATAATTTTAAAACATACTCAGTGCACCTAAAAACAAAATTCACAGCAGGAGAGCTAAGTAAGAATCACTTGGTCCAAGTTAGGAAGTGAGAAATACAACCTCTAAATATGATAGATGGGCCTAACATATGAATACCACTGTCCACATTCCAAAGCACAGAAATTCTCACTGATGTGGGCCAGAGAGGGAAAGAATTCGTCCCCAATCGAGACTGTCCCTCTGTAAATGTAATTCAAGCCAGGTCTAGGTAAGTAGGTCCAGGGATCGAACTTTTCTTTTTTTTTAATTTCCTTTCATTCATTGTTGCACGTTTTCCTCCATGCCCACCCATCCACCCTAGTTTCCTTTTCTTTTTGAAAAAAAATTCTTTCATAGTTGCACAATCCCCCCTCTAGTCTACTTTACTATGCAGCTCTTATACTGAACTGTTGTCGTACAAATAATACCTAATCATATATTCCTTTTAAGCAGATCTATTCCTCTTCCATTTCAATGCAGTGTACATTATTTATCCCCCTCTTTTCTTAGTTTCCCCCAAGCTCCATGTCAGTCCTGTTTTATAACAGTGGCATTATGCAGTATTTGTCCTTTTGTGACAGAGATATTTCACTCGGCATAATGTCCTCCAGGGTCACCCATAATGTGTAATATTAATGAGTTCCTTGTTTTTCAGTGCTGCATAGTATTCTATTCTAAGAATATACCATTCTATCCATTCATTTGTTCATGGGCACTTGGGTTGCTTCCTTCTCTTTTCTGTTGTAAATAACACAGCAACACACACGGGTGTACATGTATCTGTTTGGATGGCAGCTCTAGTTTCTTTAGGGTATACTCTCAGTAGCAGAATTGCTGGGTCAAATGGTATTTCTATTTTAATTTTTTTATTTTATTTTCTACTAGTTGATTTATAAAATTAGAATACGTTGTTTTCAAGAACAAATTTTTAATTTCCCTCACCCTCTCACCCATCAAATTGTAGAAGCTCATGATTAATCAGCCCCCCGTTCCCCTACACATCTTCATCGGCCCCCCCTTCCCCTACACATCTTCATCCTTCTGCTTTCAACCTCTCCCAACCCTCTTGGAGCCTTATAGTAATTCTACAGTAATGGTTTTATACAATATTTATCCTTGTGGGACTAAGTTAGTTCAGTCAGCATAATGCTCTTCAGTTCCTCCCAAGTTAGGTAACAATTTACAAAATCATTGTTCCTGCATGGTATTTCCAACTTTTTGAAAAAGGGCCTTACTGCCTTCCAGAGTGGTTGCACCATTTAACACTCCCACCAACAGTGAATAAGGGTTCCAGTTTCTCCACAACCTCACCAGCATTTGTTGTTTGCTGCTCTGCTGAATTTTGCTATTGTTACTGGGGTGAGATGCTATCTCATAGTTGTTTTGATTTGCATTTCTCTTAGAGCTAGGGATTTTGAACACTTCTTCATGTGTTTGTTCACCATCTGAATGTCTTCTCTGGTGAAGCACTGGTAAGAAAGACAGTAGCCTGAGTAATGCTGGTCTGGTGACAAACCACTTCCCAACTCTGCCCTCAATGAATCCTCTAAGTCTATCAGATATGGCCTTCACTTTGCAAATGAGGACCCGAGACTCAGAAGTGAAGTGTGTGATCCCAGGTTACACCATGAGCCCTACTCCTTACTTTCCCCTGTAAACTCTGGGAGAAGTTCAGTTTATCCCTCACTGGGACCAGACCTCAGCCCCTGTTGTTTCCCATCACTCCACAGGAAAAAGGGAGGAGGGAGAACTACTTGAACTTTCAGGTAATCATTTCAGAGCCAGAAGCAGACCTGTGAGGCTGGTGAGCTGCTAAGCCTGACAGAGGAGTTGTCACCAGGCCAGGCCAATCACCAGCCATGCGACCTTGGCCAAGCTCCTCACCCTGCTCTGAGCTGAACCTTTGTTCCCTGCCAGATATTACAGATGTGGAGACAGATGTGCAACAGCATTTTACCTGGCTGGGACATGCATAGGATACCTGCTGTTTTCTATTAATGTGTGGCCTCTCTTTATGTAGGATTCCATCTGAACTAATGGAACAGGAAGAACACTAACACACATTCAACTTCTGCTTGGTCCCAGGCACTGGGTTAAGTGTAACAGAGTTCAGGCACCATTAACATCTCGATTTTACAGATAGAAAAATTGAAGTGCTTTTTATAAAGTCATGACTATATGAAAGCATCACTTCTCAACCTGTTCCTCCTCAGGTGGTTGTTGTTAAGTACCCTTGAGTTAAGTACAACTCATAGTGACCCTATGGATAACAGATGTGAACCCTGCCCTATCCTGTGCCAGTCTCACAATCTCTGACATAGATGAGTCCACTGTCACAGTCATCATGCCAAGCCATCTGACTGAGGATCCTTCTCTCTTGCTGGCCCTCCACCTTTACAAACATGATGTTCCTCTCCAAGGAGTAGCCTCTCCTAGCAATGTTTGCAAAGAATGCGAGACGAAGCTTCAGCAGCCTTAACTCCACGGAGTACTCTGGCTGCACTTTTGCCAAGACATATATGTTTATTCTTCTGACAGTCCATGGTATAGTCAGTACTCTTCTCCAACACCACAACACAAAGGCATTGATTCTTCTTCTGTCATCTTCATTCATTGTTCAGCTTTCAGACACACAGCAAGTGACTGAAAGTACCATGACTTGAGTCAGATACATCTTAGTTTTCAAAATAACATCATTGCTCCTCAGGAATTTGGAGAGGTTGACAGAACTAATGCAATTCCTCTCCTGCTCTCATGACTACTGGTACCAAGAATGCTGACTGTGGATCCAAGTAAGATGAAACTCTTGACAACTTCATTTTTCCATCTATCATGATGTTGCTTTATTGTTCCAATGATGGGGATATTTTTGTCTTCTTGATTTTGAGATGCAATCCATAATGAAGGCTAGAGTCCTCTGCAGTAAATGGTTCAAGTTCACACTTTCAGTAAACATGTGTTTATGTGTTGCCTGCTTAACACAAATTGTTGCTAAGTCTTCTTCCTATCCTCGTGCCATATTCTTCTTCATGGAGTTCAGCTTCTTAAATGATCTGCTCAGAATACACACTGAATCGACATGGAGAAAGGATACAGCCCTGACACACACTAGAACTGATTTTAAACCACACATTACTCCCTTGCTCTGTGTGGTGTTAGCCTAAAAGTCATTTTTTTTTTAGCCAACACCATTAGTCTTCTGGTCTCCAGTTATTTGAACTGCAGACACATGGTCCTGTAAATCCGTATCAGCTGTGAGACTAGGATAAGAGAAAGAATGCTTCCCACACTGAGGAGCAAGACATGAGGCAGGCAAGACTTAAGGCAAGCAAGGCTTTGGTTGGCAAGACCCTGGTGAGAGCAAGACCCTGGTGGTGGAGACACTGTGGCATTGCTGTGGGAAAACTGTGGCAAGGTGTGACTTGAGGTTTCTTGCACTTGTGCTGGCTACAGTTAAAGGTCTGGCTGTTCCTGACGGATGCTTGAAAGAGAAGCTGATTTATAACTACTCGGAAGCAAACCTTATTGGTGATTTTGATTTGAGTGCTGAACTGAAACCAGAGCCTGGACTAATTGAGGAATTGTGCCTTGGGACTGTTGAGCTAAAACTTGGATTTGCATTGGATGGTATTCTTTGTCTCTCCCACTCTCCAACTTCCTTCCCTAATAAACTCCATTGTTGGCACCATAACTCTGAGTCTGTGAGTCAGCAACGAAGAAACAAATCCCCCTGCTGCTGCTGTGGCTCTAGAGGAACCATGGTGCTGGGTTATGGGATCTTTATCTGTTTTCTGCTCTGAGGCTGTGAGGGGCTGTGCTATTCTTACTCCCTCTGGCCCCTTCAGAAAGCCTCTGATGGCGTGGTGCCCCCATGTCCAGTTTTCTCCTATTTAGATACTCTGTTAGTAGAGCAGCTTCTTGGTCCTGGTATAGGTTTTGTATAAACATAATTAAGTGCTCTGGGATTCCCATGATTCTCAATGTTAGCCATAGTTTGTTATGATCCGCACAGTCAAATGCTTTTGCATAGTCAATAAAACACAGACAGACATTCTCCTGGTATTCTCTGCTTTCAGTCAAGATCCACCTGACATCTCTGGTGCTCCTCACGAGTCAAACCCAAATGTTACACGGCTACTTGAGATACAACCAAAACTGGCACCGTCTTTCCCCAATGCCTCCTCCTCTGTTCCTGGTGCATCCTTTCTCTATAAGGGATATGAACTAGGGCTCTTGTCAGGCCTGCGTCATTACTGTCTCTCAAAACCACGTCCATACCCACACTCCCCTCCCCCACTATCCCTGGCCCAGTTGAGCCCCTAGGACCCTCCTCTGGCATCCTGAGCCTCCAAACTCAGCCATAGGGATGGTCTAACACTCTGATGACCACATCATCCTCTGCTGCTCACACCTGAGTCTGGTCCACAAGGCTCCCTTCTTATCCCTTCACATCATTTCTCATAGCTAAACGGCATATCCCATGCATGTCCTCAAATACCGAGCTCTCTCCTACCTCCGTGAGTGCGCCTCTGCCAGGATCCTGCTCCTCAGCCTCCTTTACCATCACTACCTCTTGTCACCTGCAAGACCCAGTCAGTCCAGTGCTCCAGGTACCTGGCATTCACTTGACACATCATCCCCCACTAAGCTGAAGCTCTGTGCTGGCAAGATTGTCTTGTTCACATCTGTCCCCAGAGCCTAGAATGAGGACATGGGGCAGAAACCGAGTTCTCCTCAGCAGTTAAAACTCTGCCAGTCTCACAGGGTCTGTTTCCAGAAGGCTCCCAGGGGACTGACTAAAGAGAACTCCTATTTGACAATAATCTATGCTCCGTGCTTCTCAGAAACAGCCCAGAAATGTTTGACTTTGATAAGGGAGCAGCATTCAGCAGGCTCGCACTCCAGGGAAGAAAGCGCTGCAGTCAGCAGTTCTCCTAAGACAAGCAAATTGACACTCGGACAGCCCTGAGGCTTGGCCTGAGCTGTGCTGACAACAGGGACTAATATAAACCGGGCTACTGCCTCCTCCCCTAAACGCCCAGGTGACTGAGGGCTCAAGGTTGAAACCAGGGAAACGGAGCTGCTACAAACAAATGGAAGCAGCAAGATCAGAGTTGAGGCGGGCCTCACAAGAGCTATCCAGCCTCTCTAAACCCTAGTTCCTTTATCTGTCTGAGAACTTCTTAGGCTCTCAAGCCCATCCCCTCCTCTTGATGTCACTGGCCTAGCTGGAGCTGGCCTCTGTCACTGGACTACTAAACAGACCTCCTCCTCACCAGTGGGGAGGCCCCAGTGAGCCTTACTCACACGCAGATTTGTGAGAAAATAGAAACTGCCCCATGCCGGCCCAGTCTGCCTTTCACAGTGCAGCTCCTGGACCCCAGCCCCCCTAGCCCCAACCTGCCACTTCCAGCTTTAGTCTCCACTAACTTGATCTGCTTTCAGATTCACACGCATGAAAACTTATTTCTTGCTTCTTTACCTCCGTCCATGCTGTTCCTCTGCCTGAACCGCCAGTGTCCCTTCTGTCTAGCATCTATTCCTCCTTTCAGATTCAGCAGGTGTCACTCAACCAAGATGCCCACGTCCCAAAATAAAGCCCACCTCATACCCTTTAGTCCTCAATGATATTCTATGCACCTTCCTATCACTGCACGTCTCATGCCCGTCTCATCAGATGGAACCTGGGATTGAAGGGCTCCTTCACCTGCATTGCTATGGAATATGCTGGTCTGTGTCCATCAGAAAGGATAAACATGAAAAGAATTCCTCTAGGTATTCCGTAAGCTATAGCAAAAAATAAGACCCCAGGAATAGATGGTATACCAACTGATATATTTCAGCTAACAGATGCTACCCTGGATGTGCTCACCAAGTTGTGACAAGAAATCTGGAGAACAACCACTTGGCCAACTTGACTGGAAGAGATCTCTATTTGTTCCCATTCCAAAGAAGGGTGACCCAACTGAATGTGGAAACTACAGAACAATATCGTTGATTTCACATACAGGCAAGAGTTTACTGAAGATTATCCAAAAACGACTGGAACAGCACATCAGCAGAGAATTGCCAGAAGTCCAGGCTGGGTTTAGAAGGGGTCATGGTACTAGGGATATTGTAGCTAATGTTAGATGGATCTTAGCTGAAAGCAGGGGATACCAGAGGAA